ACATGAAGGGCGGTCGCCCTATTGGGGATCAACTCAAGTAGTTATTAAAGGGGTCGAGACTTAGGTCTAGAAGCTGGGTAAAACCCAGGATAGGAGGATTTACCCGTTATTGCGTAACCAATAGGGGAACCACTGTTAAGATAACAACACAGTGGGCCGCAGATCTGTCCTGATCAACCGGGCTGTGGTGGGTTTAGACTGAGACCGCCGATCCCCTCGCATTAGACTTCAGGCGGGACGCTAATATGGTTTAGGTTACGACCCGCGTCCAAAGGGGCAAATTTTATGACTCCTCGGACAACCAACGAGAATCTGGGAAGGAAGTCTAAAGATGTGGGAAAGATAATCGTTGTTTCTCTTGGTAACTTTCACCGTTGTAGTACAGATTCAGTATCCCCACCATCGGTTCATTGAGTTTGGTTTTGGGGGTTTTCAGTATGTGGGAGACCCGGGTTAGAATCCCGGCGATGGTAGAATGTATCAAGGGAAGCAATGTGAATCTTGACTTCATCTCAATCCAGGGACTCGGATTTGGCTATCCACTTATCAGAGATGCGCTTTGGTTGGGAAAGAGACTCATCTCCTCTTTCAAACAGAAAAGAGAAGTACATGTATTATTTTGTATTGTATCATATGTCTAATGGTTTTATCGGTCTTGTCATATTTTATCAGTTGATTTGATTTTGGGAAACAATGTAAAGGGGAACTATATAAACAATTGTGATATACGTCCTTAGCGACGGGGACGTCGCTTAATAAGGTCTGGGAATACTGTCGGACCAAATACCCTTACAAGGGTATTTGGTCATGCTTTTGCATTTGACACAACGACGACGTCGGCTACCATGACGGGGCCGGTCTGGGACGGAAAGCGTGTGCGCTTTGGCGTGACACTCGAAACGAATTCGTCAGCCATTGAGGCCGGGGCGAGTCGGTGAGAGAATTTCGAGAGTACGCGCGCGCATTGTTAAGCCGCGCACTAGGATGGTTAGGATTAGTAGTAATAGCTCCGACCGAGAAGGGCGGAGGGATGATTGGGTTAGTATTGTGTCGGGTAGATCTACTACACACACTGAGACATGGCCTGGTACCTGTCTACCTACCGATACCAGGTGTTTTAAACATGTCAGTTTTTGTCTTCCTCTACTCGGCCTTCGAGTCGGGCACTCGTCATATCTACCTCTACTTGGTGAGGTTCTGACTTACCTGCTACTTGAGTGTTTTCCCCGCCGAGACCCTTAAATGTGGCGGCCACGGCTAAGTACCAGCCCTTCGGGCCTCCCGATTAACTGAGTACGTAGGCGGGGCACACACACACTCAAGCCAATAAGCACTCAGACAGGCATGCAGGCCGGCAGGCGTGCACGTACGCAGACTTAGACGCGGGCTCAGGCCATGAGGCGGACTGAGCCCCACTTCAATATATACATGAGTTGCTCCTCTTCTAACCGAAGTAGGAGCTAGCTCAGTGGGTTTCGGTGCGAGTGGAAGATCAGGTGACTCGAGGATCGAATCCATCCAACCCCTAGCTCCTTTTTATGAGGGGCTCTGCTTTGGCCTTCGCCCGTTTGTGGTAGGCCGAGACTCAAACCCGCGACCTCAGTAGTCGGGTTAGTTAGAGTTGGTAGAAATCGAATGAAACAAAGACCCGACACTTGGCATAAATGAGTAGTTAGTTGTTAGATTTGTTTTTTTTTTTTTAATTTTATTTGTTTTTCGTTGTTAGTTGGACTCATTTTAATTTTAATTTTATTTTATTTCCTTTATTATTTCTTATTTCCTAGTTTTCTCGCTGATTTCGTGGCTACTCCAAGACACGAAAGATTCACTTCCATGAATCTGCAGAGGATGGTCGGGCAGATTCGTTTCCATGATATCTGCTCGATTGCGAACATAGCAGCCCGAGACTCCGGTCCACATGCTCGGGCTGAGTATTCGACGAGCTACACAGTGGGCGCACAACAGCACGCGGAGAAGTGACATGGGGAGCAACGAAGAGATCGAGCGGAGAGGTAGTGGAAGCAAGCAAAGAAAAGGGAGAGGGTTGCGCGAGGAAGGGAAGGCAACCGCGCAAAAGAAGGTGGCACGCAGGAAAAAGAGAAGAAGGAGAAGGAGGAGGAAAGCGAGACGAGAAGAGGAGAAAGTGTAGAGAGAAGAAGTAGAGAGAGGAAGTAGAAGGAAGAAGGAGAAGAAGGAAAAGAAGGAGAAGAAGGAGAAGAAGAAGAAAGTGAGGGAGAGGAGAGAAACTAACCTGGTGATGTTCCGGGCGTGGGGTTTGGGACCTTGTACATGAGTACGAGGGACTCGTTGCGCTTGCTTTGGGCGGTTTCCAATCATGAGCGTGGGTTCGGCATCCGCCCGGCTCGTCGGAGTGAGCGCTTGGGCTCCTCGACTTCCCAAGACTGCAGTCTCGTTATGCTGCACATAGTGAAGGAGCGAATAGTGTCGTCGAACTCTTGGCACTTACGACGACGACGACGGGAAGAGTATGAGACAGGTAAGTTTTCAATCTTGCAACACTCTTCATGGCGCTTCTATCAGTAGTCCGAGCAAAACCAAATAAATTTACCATGAGAATATGGAAAAATACATTACTACGGGTGTGTGTGATTTTATGTCATGTTTGATTCCACGCTATCTTCCCCGATAGGATGAATAAAATCATCTGAATCTACCGCTAGAACATGGAAATATACACTGCCGCTCTGGATTGATTGTTTGTATGTGTGTGTGTGTGTGTGTGTGTGTCCGATCGCGCGGCCGATCCCAAGCTATTCCATCGAGAAGATGAACGAGATCGAGAGGATCGACCACTATAACGAGGAAATTTATACTTTTACTACGTGTATGTGTGTGTGTGTTTGTGTTTGTGAGGGTGTGGGTGTGTATCTCGCAGTCGATCTCATGGAACTTCCATCAATAAGATGAGTAAACATAAAAATAAAATAAAAATAAAAATAAAATCAAATGAATCGACCACTAAATATGGGTAGGTACATTACCACGCTTGGGTATGTGAATATGTGTGTGTGTGTATGTGTGTGTATGTGTGTGAGTATGTGTGTGTATGTGTGTGCATATACTCGATCGCGCAACGGACTTCCCGCTATAAGTCCAACAAAATCGGACGAATCTACGGCCACAATATGAGAATATGCACGACTCTACTTGTTCGCTCGGTTGCACGAATGTGTACGGCTGAGAGAGAGAGAGAGTGAGAGAGAAAAGGAAGGAGAGGAGGTGAGTGGTAGTCCTTGGGGACACGTGGCATCTGTGAGTGGGGGAACGAGGTTGTGAGTGATGCGAGAGACATACCTGGTGCTTGAGGCGAACGGCATTGGCCGAGATCTGC